ATAATTAGCCTTATGAGATGATTTCTCCAATTTACCTTGTGGGTTCTTTTTTTTGGGGGTTAAGCTTTTGACATTCTCTAAAAATCTGTTTTTTCAAGGTTGTAACTGTTGAGGTCTGTCACTATGAAGTCGAAAAAAGATAAGACTTTAGTTCCAAATATATAATTAGCCTTATGAGATGATTTCTCCAATTTACCTTTGTGGGTTCTTTTTTTTTGGGGGTTAAGCTTTTGACATTCTCTAAAAAATCTGTTTTTTTCAAGGTTGTAACTGTTGAGGTCTGTCACTATGAAGTCGGAAAAAAGATAAAACTTTAGTTCCAAATATATAATTAGCCTTATGAGATGATTTCTCCAATTTACCTTTGTGGGTTCTTTTTTTTTGGGGGTTAAGCTTTTGACATTTTCTAAAAAATCTGTTTTTTCAAGGTTGTAACTGTTGAGGTCTGTCACTATGAAGTCGAAAAAAGATAAAACTTTAGTTCCAAATATATAATTAGCCTTATGAGATGATTTCTCCAATTTACCTTTGTGGGTTCTTTTTTTTGGGGGTTAAGCTTTTGACATTTTCTAAAAAATCTGTTTTTTCAAGGTTGTAACTGTTGAGGTCTGTCACTATGAAGTCGAAAAAGATAAGACTTTAGTTCCAAATATATAATTAGCCTTATGAGATGATTTCTCCAATTTACCTTTGTGGGTTCTTTTTTTTGGGGGTTAAGCTTTTGACATTCTCTAAAAAATCTGTTTTTTCAAGGTTGTAACTGTTGAGGTCTGTCACTATGAAGTCGAAAAAAGATAAAACTTTAGTTCCAAATATATAATTAGCCTTATGAGATGATTTCTCCAATTTACCTTTGTGGGTTCTTTTTTTTTGGGGGTTAAGCTTTTTGACATTCTCTAAAAAATCTGTTTTTTCAAGGTTGTAACTGTTGAGGTCTGTCACTATGAAGTCGAAAAAAGATTAAAACTTTAGTTCCAAATATATAATTAGCCTTATGAGATGATTTCTCCAATTTACCTTTGTGGGTTCTTTTTTTTTGGGGTTAAGCTTTTGACATTCTCTAAAAAATCTGTTTTTCAAGGTTGTAACTGTTGAGGTCTGTCACTATGAAGTCGAAAAAAGATAAGACTTTAGTTCCAAATATATAATAGCCTTATGAGATGATTTCTCCAATTTACCTTTGTGGGTTCTTTTTTTTTTGGGGTTAAGCTTTTGACATTCTCTAAAAAATCTGTTTTTTCAAGGTTGTAACTGTTGAGGTCTGTCACTATGAAGTCGAAAAAAGATAAAACTTTAGTTCCAAATATATAATTAGCCTTATGAGATGATTTCTCCAATTTACCTTTGTGGGTTCTTTTTTTTTGGGGGTTAAGCTTTTGACATTTTCTAAAAAATCTGTTTTTTCAAGGTTGTAACTGTTGAGGTCTGTCACTATGAAGTCGAAAAAAGATAAAACTTTAGTTCCAAATATATATTAGCCTTATGAGATGATTTCTCCAATTTACCTTTGTGGGTTCTTTTTTTTGGGGGTTAAGCTTTTGACATTCTCTAAAAAATCTGTTTTTTCAAGGTTGTAACTGTTGAGGTCTGTCACTATGAAGTCGAAAAAAGATAAGACTTTAGTTCCAAATATATAATTAGCCTTATGAGATGATTCTCCAATTTACCTTTGTGGGTTCTTTTTTTTTGGGGGTTAAGCTTTTGACATTCTCTAAAAAAATCTGTTTTTTCAAGGTTGTAACTGTTGAGGTCTGTCACTATGAAGTCGAAAAAAGATAAAACTTTAGTTCCAAATATATAATTAGCCTTATGAGATGATTTCTCCAATTTACCTTTGTGGGTTCTTTTTTTTTTTGGGGGTAAGCTTTTGACATTTTCTAAAAAATCTGTTTTTTCAAGGTTGTAACTGTTGAGGTCTGTCACTATGAAGTCGAAAAAAGATAAAACTTAGTTCCAAATATATAATTAGCCTTATGAGATGATTTCTCCAATTTACCTTTGTGGGTTCTTTTTTTTTTGGGGGTTAAGCTTTTGACATTTTCTAAAAAATCTGTTTTTTCAAGGTTGTAACTGTTGAGGTCTGTCACTATGAAGTCGAAAAAAGATAAGACTTTAGTTCCAAATATATAATTAGCAATCTACCGGAAGCTCTGCTTTGCCTCATATTATCATTCCTTCCTATAAAAGATTCTGCTTTGACTTCAGTCCTCTCGAAAAAGTGACGTTATCTCTTTGCTTTCAGACCAAATCTTGATTTTGATGGCTTAGTTAATAATCTGCATCATCGTGAAGATGGTAACAGAGAAAAAGATGAGATTAATACAATGTTTTATGGATTTTGTGAGTAGAGTTTTGGGTTTGCAAGGGAATTCTATTGTCAACAAGTTCTCTCTTAAGTGTGGAATTGATGTTGATCCAGTTTGTGTTATTAGTTGGATAGTAAACGTGTTGGAACGTGGTGTATCGGATCTTGATTTACGCATTAGTGTGGATCGTGGTGAGTTGCCTTCAAAGGTCTTTATGAGTGAGTCACTTGTTAGGCTGAGGATAGAGTCTCAAAATGTTTCTGCCATTGATGTGGAAGATGTTTTCTTCCAAAGCTTAAGACTCTTTATCTTGATACTATTATGTTAGGAAAAGTTGGTGATTACTTTGACAAGCTTCTATCTGGTTGTCATGTCCTAGAGGAATTGGTTATGATCAATATTTACTCTGATTTTAGGAACCGCTCTGTGTCTTCCAAAACCCTTAAGTGATTGAAGCTATGTTGTATAGAATATGATCAGATTCTGGATACTGTTTCATTTGATACACCAAATCTTGTCTACTTGGAATACTCTGATTATGTTGCGGGCAAGTACCCGAGAGTGAATTTTTGTTCGCTTGTTGAAGCTTGTCTAAATCTTCATATGACATATGATCAGTGTGCACAAGCAAGCTATGGAGATTTGGTTGGTAATGTAACAGATTTTCTTATGGGAGTAAGCAATGTTCAGATCCTTCACTTATCTGACAGGTCTCTTGAGGTATTTTAACGTAATATTGATTAATGATTTTTTGAGTTCATGATTGTAGATGAATGGTGATTTAGTTGATTTGGTTTTTGTTTCAGCTACTTACTTTCTGCTGTGAACCAATACCGGTATTCAACAGCCTGATTCATTTAACGATTAAGACTCACCGTCATGGAGAAGTAGGATGGGAATCATTGCCGGCTTTACTCAAGAAATGTCCAAATCTAGAAACCCTCGTCTTCCAAGTACCAACACATTTTTACTGCATATTTAACACATTTAACTACACACAATTAGATTTTGATGATGTTTCCTCAATGATTTAGGGACTCCATCACAAGGATACAATTAAATGTGAAGAAGTTGATGGGTGCCTTTGCAAATATTCTGAGGACATTCCTACTTGTTTATCGTCAAGTCTGGTGAAGGTCGTAAAGGTATGGAAGTTTGGTGAAAAAATTTATAACTACAATGATATGAAAAAGCAGTTAGAGCAAGTCAAGCACTTTCTAGAGACAATGCCGAATCTTGAACAAATGATATTATACTACGATACACCATACGATAACGATGTACTTGAAGTTTCCAAGCAACTTCAGATGCTTACTAGAGTAGCTTCGGCTAAATGCAAGATCCAAGTAATTTCTGACAACCTCAGCTTATCTTTTTCCTTTTCCACAAGTGGACTCACCTTCTTCAATAGTACCAACATTGTTTTGATTCTAGTTTTTATCTTAAGCAACAATGAAAAATATATTTGGCCTCTGTTCTGTTATTTCCGCCTTGGTCTTTCAGATTCTTAATATATATTCCACTTTGTTTATGTAATGTGTACACTTCATGCTTTCTATAGGTTTCCTAGTTGTTAATTTGTTTCACCATACGAATCCCTGAAGGCCTGAAATAACAAAAGAACCATTAAAATAACTTAGCAGATATGAACAGTTCTTTTGTTGGTTTTTGTTTGTCGAGATCTGTGATACCCGGATTGGCTCTGCTCCCTTTGGTTTTACACTTCAGTTCCGTTCGAGAGCTGTTTTATTCATCAGGCTCTTGCTCAGGCGTTCATAGAGTCGATCGCTTCCAGTCGACCGTTTCCGGACTCTTAAGGGAACTCTTGGCGGCTACCCGAATTTCTTCTCGCGACAGCTCACAAAAAATCACTAGGTGATCACTCGTACTTGCCTCTGAAAGCTACCCGCAAGGGAACACCCGTCGTAATTCTCTAGCAAGCAGTTGTAAGGAATTACTAGTTGACCACACGTAATTCTCTCTAGAAGCCACCCATAAGAGAAGATTGGGATATGATTATAGTGACATAGTCTTACAAGAGAAATAATACTCAAGCCTCACTCATGTTTTGTGGTAGACTTCACTTTTAGTTTTTCTCCATGAAAGATCGACAAAGAAAAAAACCGAATCGAAGAAATGTAAGTATGAAGCATCAAACCAACTAGACCAGCTTTATCATCTCTAATATAAGTCCCAAAAATCGATTTCCAAAAATGTTCGAACGTGGTTCTTCAGTTGGAGTACCCCGCATTCTCTTATCTCCCATTTCTCACTGTTGAGCTTGAAATCGAAGACAAGCTCGTCGGAAGTCACCTCAACTTCAACTATAACTTCGAATGTGTAGAGATGCTCCTGTAAAAAATGTAAGTATGGTTTTTTAATACTTAGAAGTGAGGAAATCATTCTGCCTTTCCATAATGGTCAAACATACGTCCATACATCCCTCATTACCAACCTCATGGTAACAGTTATCAGCCAAAACAATGCAAGCCTTAAATCTCATGGATTCAGGAAGAGCCCTTTGATTCAACTTCAAAGTAAGAGAACTTCCAGTGGCTCGGTTAGTGATGTACGCAGGAACTTTTACACTGGGTAATATGGAATAATGACGAGCCATTGCTTGAATGATAAGGTCTCTTGCTTCTTTATCTAGTTTGAGGCAATTGGTAAAGTCGAGATGTTGAATATTTGGATTGTTAAAGAAAAAATGTATTCACTCTCGCAAATCATTAGCATTACAAATTCAAAGAAAAAAGCAAGAGGATCATCATCCTTTCTTTGGCATTGCGGCGAGGCGTGTGTACATGCGTGCCATTGAATTGAACCCTCTCACATCCCCAGATCTTAGAAGATTACCTTTTAACAGCAACAACCCCAACAACAAAAGTGTCAAAACACACAGATTTCAGTAAAAAGCAGTTGCATACTATAAAACACTAAAACTAGCTTTGTTACCTGAGTCACAGTTAAGAGGACTGTCCGGCTCAGGGTGAGCCATCAATGCTATGATAGCTCTACACACGGACTGAAGCGTCCAAGCGGGACTCCACGCATTCTTCAATATGTCGAGGCATATTTCCCCTGTCTACAAATTCCAAGTAATAAAAAACAGTGCCCTTTTTTTTTACCGGAGAGATTATAAAAACCGCAATCATCATTTCACTACCTTGAAATGCACATTTGGATGAAATATTTTGGTCAAGAATCGCACTTGAGGAGGTTGCAAAGGATATGGTTCAGGAACAGCAAAAGCAAGCTGAAAAACACCGCCTTCATAAGGAGTCTCTGACGGTCCCTGCAACAATACAACAACAACGACAATGTTTCACAAACAGAAACCACAGACTTTCCCTGCAAAATGAAGGAAGTTTTCGGTTTTCTTATCAATAATTTCTCCGAAAAAAACCTTGATAAGAGCGGTCCATTTGAATATGTTGGTATCGTCACACACCAATTGAATATCTGGATCAGCTACTTTCTCTCGCTGAACCTCTTTGTATTCTTTAAAGAGTCTCGCTCTTGATGCCTATACATGAATCAATCAATCAATCACACACACATTCTTAGTCAAAGTTTTGAAAGAAAAAAAAAAGATCAAGATTGGCAATTTTTTACCTGCATCTCTCTAATGGTCCAAAAAGAACAAGATCGAATTTGTCAACTGCAAAACAATGCATCTTGATTGATCAATCTAAAAAATCAAGAAGAACTAAAAAAAAAAACTAGTTCGTCAAGAAATTAGGGTTTTATTCTTGTAATTCACATACGCAATTATCAGATCCGATAATTCATTAGGTAAAAGTGTTTTATATCCAAGAACAGTGATAATTAGGGTTAATTAATGACTCTGCTTTGAGATCTAGAAAGAAAGAGATAGGAGGGAAGTGAAACCATAATTTGACAAAAAGAGGAAGAATTAACGAAGCTTTACCTTCAAGAATGAGAGAGAGAGAGAGAGAACGACCACGAAAATGCGGATGAAACTTTTATTTTATGTGTAGGTTTTTTTTTGACTTAAAAATTTGACAAAACAGAGTTTATCTCTTTGGTTACTTTGTGTGTTCTTGTGTTAACAAAACACATATCTTTGGCTTTGGACCACTCTATCAATTCAATAACAAGAAACAAGCAAAACCCAGAAACGTTAGAAGATAGAATTCACCAAAATTGGACAGAAACTTTGAAGTTTTTTTAAAACATGAATCGACCCACAAGTTCATAGCTACAGAAAATTCAATTTTTCCAGCGACCCACAAGTTTGAATCCAAAATTACCTTTAGAGAATCACCTTTAGAGAACACACGAACACGAATACACTTCAACCAAGATTTCTTCGAGATGAAACCATTAAACCCCAATCATATGAATCAATTCAAAATCAGATTCCCGAAAAAAGAGAATCTATCAATCTATGAGAGTGTAAAAATGAGAAAGATGAAAGATATAGAGAGAGCAATCGAACCCTTTCTTATGGCTTCTCACAATCGAAGAAGAGATCGACGAAGAAGAAGAAGAAGAAAAAAAAGAAGAAGACGTCGTCGTTTACAATCAAAGAGAAAAAAAAGAAAAAAAAATTGTGTAATAGACTAATAGGACAAGCCCTAATGAATTGGCCCCAAACTTTTGCTTAAAGCCCTTTAGTTTAGGTGTTTACAAACCAAGAACAGAATACTTAAATTCATGTTTTAGAAATAACAAAAACTGATTTATTTTGGTGTTTCTAAGCATCTTTTGGTATCGCGGACAACAAGTTTGTCGGTAGAGAACTGGAGGATCAAGATTGTTTGGTAGGATCCATAATTTTTTTCAACATAAAAACATGGGCAAATTGGTGATTTAATACAATGTGAAGGTAATTGATTCAAATATTTAAAAATTTTAGATGTTGTATATTTAACTTTATCGATTGAGCTAATTTTAAACCTTAATCTTATAGTTTATGATGGTGATTTCAATCAAAACTATATTTTTTTTTTACAAAAATTTAATAAAAACAAATGGAACGGGTATAATACTGGAGTCACTTGCATTTTAAAAATGGTTAATCCAGTTACAGAAACTGAGGTCAAATATCTTTTATATTAAAGTCCATGTTTATTACACAGATAACTGACATCCAAAACCATGAATTGTTTTTTATTCTATTAATGAAGAACTTTGAGAACGTATCTTTTTTTTTTGAAGTTTCATGCATTAAGCTTCAATCACTATATATTTCCAACAGCAAAACCTACCATAAGGAGGGGCACTCCATCAGCAACTTTAATGGGCATTATTGGTATAGAGAAGATTAGTTTAGACATAACATAACAGGTGTGGAACAGAATAGCTCCTGGCCTAGCTTCGAAGTTTGATTCACCTTACTCATTACCAGTGATTGCTCCACGGCCTCTTTACATCCTTAACAGTGAGCACAATCGATATATATATATATATATATATATATATATATATATATATATATATATATATGCTCATTATCTATCGACACACTTACAAGTTTTGCCGCATTACATATGCAGGTGCAAATGATCCTCGATGTCCTCTTGGCGGACTAGAAGTTGGGTTAAAGAAAGATGAGAAGGCGTATAACGAAACTACTTCTCCTGTATAAGACCAATGTTTGCTTTTATTTTATACAACCATCTTATTTCGCTTAAATATTTATTTTGATCATCACTAATTTTGTAGTATTACGAATTAAATCATATATCCTATACTACTATTTGGGGAGTACATTATAAAAGTAACCTTACCCTTTGTAAGTAATTACTTCATCTATAAAAACTTATATTCTAAAATATATAATATATAAAATTTTATTCTAAAATTTATACTTTTGGCCCAACTGTTTTTTATTTATTTCTTTTATTTTATGTGTAGGTTTTTTTGTATAATAATATGAGCTAAAGATAGCAAATTAGATGGGAAAATATCTGGTCTATAGGGTTTATCAATCAAAAAATACTTAAATAGTCAATTTGGTTAACTTCATTTTAAAACTTGACGGTTAAGATTTTCGGATTATGGAAACGAGGGTGTAATCGAGGACCGACAACTAATATAACAAAACGTCAGAAAAATAGGTACAAAAACCCTCACTTTACCTTAAAACACATAAAAAAAAACCTCAATTGTTTTTTTGGGTTTTAAACCCTCACCTTTTCATAAATAGTAAAATAAACCCTATGACTAATAAACTCAACTTTAATTCAAAAAAATTGTTATATTAAAACAACAACAAACAAAAACAATTTATGTTATGATTTTTTCTTTCAAATTAGAGTTTGCGATTTTTTTTGTTCTAAAATTAAGGTTTTTACGATATAAAAACTCATTCACCATTTAGTTGAGATTAAGCAAATCACCTTTTGTTACTATTAGAAGATATGTTATATAAACTACAAAAACTTACAGTATAGCACATTTGGTTTTTTTTGTTTGTTCGAGTTTTTCATGTTTTGATTTAGGAAATAGTCAAAATTAGAACAAAATTCAGATTCAGTTTGAGGTTCAATTTTGGATAAAAATATAGTTAAATATAATTTATATTATATTTTTGGTCCGATGAAAATATTTTGATGTGAAAATTCATATACTTTACGTAGTATTATAAAATTTGGTTTGGCTTCACGTTAGTAAATTTGTGTGATTGAACCGAAGAAACCTTTATTAACATAAATTCATATTTGGATCGGTATAAGAATTTATATATCATTCGTAACAAAAAAAAATTTTGGTTCACGTTGATGAATTTGTAACACAACCAAATAAAAGTTCATTAATCAACTTTTTTACCTCATGCCTTAAAAAATATCAATTTAGAAAAAGATTATAAAATATAATTTTAGAAGAAAAATCGTAAATTAAATTTTTCATATTTATTTATGTTTTCATATAACGATTTGTTTATAAAAATTAGTTTCTTAATATTAGGCTTTATTTTACCATTTATGTAAAGGTGAGGGTTTAAAAACCCACAAAAAAGTTAAAGGTTTTTTTAATATATTTTTAGAAAATGTGAGGGTTTATTTACCCATTTTTCTGAAAACGTCTGAGTTCTCGAAGAAGGAGAATTACAATTTTGAGAAATTAGATCGGTTAACTGTAAACCGAAGGAAAGCGGGTTTGGAAATTTTAAATTCAGACAATCCAAATTTGTCCGGTTTGGATCTCAAGTTGGTTAATTATTTAGCAACCATTGGGAACACGTCTCTCTACCAATGGGCACATACACTTCCAGATTTTGAAAATTGAAATTTGTTACTTTTTTAGCATGAAAATTGGAACATGACCTGTTATTTCCACGATCTAGAAGACTTGTATTCAATGAAATTGTTAATTTCAAAATTGGACCACTTGACACGTTTGGTAAAGAATTTGGTATATTATCCATTAAACGACCCCTATCTATTCGTGAATATATCAAAGAGTTATCATTGGAGGTTGTGGAAGTGGAAGTTCATAGATGATATCATTTACAATAAAATTAATCGCAAAACGTAGGTCATACCAGAACGACTATAAGAATTCTAAGAACGAATAATGGTGCCAATTCGCAAGATCATAAAATCACAAACAGAGATGGGAACATCACATATGAGAGGTAGGTAAGGTGAAGTGCAGTTATAATGGCAAATCTCTGGGAATGATTGAATTGGTTCAAGATATGTTAACAAAGATTTTGATGGTTTTTATGTTCTCGTCTGAAGTTTAATCTGCGACAAGGTAGTGAAGCAAACATCACAAGCCCAACATTATGAGACAAACAACCCCAAGATATAAGATCATATAACTAGGTTTCTTCCAAGTGAGTCATATATATATATGAATGAATATTGATGAAATTGTTTAGGGTTGCCGAGAGTGCAACCTCTATTTCTTGTTGGGAGAATGTTTTAAAAAAATGTGGCCAAGAGAAGAGATTGATTTGCCTCAAATTCAATTATCAAATATCAAACTATATGATTTGTAATTCATGACTTAGCTACCACAAGAATCCTCCATAATTTATGAGAATTACAAGTAATATCAACAAAGAAAATTAAATAATGAAATTCAAGAAAATGATGGAAAAAAAAAAGACACATACAACGGAAGAGATCTAGAATCGAACAGTGGTTGGGCCAAAGCAGCTAAGACCCATAACTCTTTCCATGGAAGCTTCAGATTTAGGCATAGGATGATTGTCCTTGACTAAATCAGCCGAAGAAGAAGAAGAAGAAGAAGCGGAGGAAGTTGGACGGGAAGTGACAGCGATGGCACGAAGACGAGCTCTGACATCTTTGTTGAAAAAACGGAGGGGATAGTTCCAACGAGCTTCCACGGCGGCTATGGCCGTAGCCACTATCCACGAGGTGTGTCTTGTAGTTGCAGCAGCACTCATGACTGCGATTGAAGTTAGGACAAAAGCGTTACCAAAGTAAAATGTTTTTATTACAAGGTTTTGGTGATACAAGTGGCTGCGTTTGACATAGGTTTTTGGAGACCTTGACTCTCTCTTTCCACTTCTCCAAGTAATCTTTAAAATCTTTATTTATTTACTAAAATGTTACAAGGAAATAACTTCTTTTTTTTTGGATATTTCGAAAAAAGTTACTAAGGCCATGAATGGATGCTGTTTTTTATTTCTGGATTTTGTTTTAGTTTTTGGATTTTAGATTTTAGTTTTAGATTTTGTAATTAGATTTTTGTTTTAGGTTTTTGAGAAAATAACGTAGAGGGAGTAAAAACTAGATTCCCTGAATTATAGGAGAACTAAAAATCTAAAATCTTGAATGGAAGATCAAAACAAAAAAGTTTTTCTAAATTGTAAAGAAACCAAAATTTGAAAAACTTGATTGGTGTGAAATAAATTTTTGAAAAACAAAAAACTAAAAACTCTTTCAAAAACTACCAAACATTCAAGGCCTAAATCATTTTAAGAACACTTCCTATATATATAAAATTTATGGTATTTTTTAAAATTTATGGTATTTCTTTGGAATCTACTCCCAAGAAAGATTACTACATGAGTACATGTTTTCACAAAAGAAAGGACCTTGTTTTCTAAAAATGTATATTGAAACTCGGTTTGACAAAACCGTAATTTAGAATCGGTAAGAGTCGGTTTAATGTAAACACTCTCTATAAAAGAGAGACTCTGTTGTAACAAATGATTAAGTTGAATAAACGATATTTTTCCTTTTGTTCATCTCATCATTTTCGATTCAACTAACATTTTCTAATAAAAAAAGTTCAACAATATTTTAATCTAGTACTACTAATGTTTGTCCGTGATTCTTCCGAACAAGAAATATCAATGACAAGACAACACCTACAAACTGAAATACCCATTGCTCAGACAGAAGGACAAGAACAAATATGAAACCGAGCTAACGACCAAACCTATAAACAATCCTAGCATCTGGAGACCTTTTGTAAACGGCCAAACCATTGACAATATAATCTTCCTATACCGAATAGATCATTTAAATCAAATAAACCTAAGCATCTTGAACCGGCAAGGTAGAACAGAAACAAACTGTTCACACAAACATCTGGAAACGACGTCAAATGGAAGCGACACTATGAACTCCTTGGCAAGTGCCTATTGAATAAACCAGCTCTCGAACGGAACTGAAGTGTAGAAACAGAGAGCGAAGAAGAGCCAATCTGTGTATCACAGATCTCGACAGACGAACAACAACAGTAGAACTGTTCATATCTTCTAAGTATTAGTTATTTTAATGTTTCTTTTTGTTATTTCAGGGATTCGTATGGTGAAACAAATGAACAACTTGGAAACCTATAGAAAGCATGAAGTGTACACATTACATAAACAAAGTGGAATATTAATTAAGAATCTGAAAGACCAAGGTGGAAATAACAGAACAGAGGCCAAAGTAATATTTTTCATTGTTGCTTAAGCTAAAAACTAGAACCAAAACAATGTTGGTCGTCTCGTCTCTAAGAAGGATAATCTTCAAACGGGAAAGGTACTATTGAAGAAGGTGAGTCCACTTGTGGAAAAGGAAAAAGATAAGCTGAGGTTGTCAGAAATTACTTGGATCTTGCATTTAGCCGAAGCTACTCTAGTAAGCTTCTGAAGTTGCTTGGAAACTTCAAGTACATCGTCATCGTATGGTGTATCGTAGTATAATATCATTTGTTCAAGATTCGGCATTGTCTCTAGAAAGTGCTTGACCTGCTCTATCTGCTTTTTTATATCATTGTAGTAATAATTTTTTTCACCAAACTTCCATACCTTTACGACCTTCACCGGACTTGACGATAAACAAGTAGGAATGTCCTCAGAATATTTGCAAAGGCACCCATCAACTTCTTCACATTTAATTGTATCCTTGTGATGGAGTCCCTAAACCATTAAGGAAACATCATCAAAATCTAATTGTGTGTAGTTAAATGTGTTAAATATGCAGTAAAAATGTGTTGGTACTTGGAAGACGAGGGTTTCTAGATTTGGACATTTCTTGAGTAAAGCCGGCAATGATTCCCATCCTACTTCTCCATGACGGTGAGTCTTAATCGTTAAATGAGTCAGCCTGTTGAATACCGGTATTGATTCACAGCAAAAAGTAAGCACCTAAAACAAAAACCAAATCAACTAACTCACCATTCATCTGCAATCATGAACTCAAAAAATCATTAATCAATATTACGTTAATATACCTCAAGAGACCTGTCAGATAAGTGAAGGATCTGAACATTGCTTACTCCCATAAGAAAATCTGTTACATTACCAACCAAATCTCCATAGCTTGCTTGTGCACACTGATCATATGTCATATGAAGATTGAGACAAGCTTCAACAAGCGAACAAAAATTCACTCTCGGGTACTTGTCCACAACATAATCAGAGTATTCCAAGTAGACAAGATTTGGTGTATCAAATGAAACAGTATCCGGAATCTGATCATATTCTATACAAGATAGCTTCAATCTCTTAAGGGTTTTGGAAGACACAGAGCGGTTCCTAAAATCAGAGTAAACATTGATCATAACCAATTCCTCTAGGACATGACAACCATACAGAATCTTGTCAAAGTAATCACCAGCTTTTCCTAACATAATTGTATCAAGATAAAGAGTCTTAAGCTTTGGAAGAAAAACATCTTCCACATCAATTGCAGAAACATTTTGAGATTCTATCCTCAGCCTAACAAGTGACTCACTCATAAACACCTTTGAAGGCAGCTCACCACGATCCACACTAACGCGTAAATCAAGATCCGATACACCTCGTTCCAACACGTTTACTATCCAACTAATGACACAAACTGGATCAACATCAATTCCACACTTAAGAGAGAACTTGTTGACAATAGAATTCCCTTGCAAACCCAAAACTCTATTCACAAAATCCATAAACATTGTATTAATCTCATCTTTTTCTCTGTTACCATCTTCACGATGATGCAGATTATTAACCAAGCCATCAAAATCAAGATTTGGTCTGAAAGCAAAGAGATAACGCCACTTTTTCGAGAGGACTGAAGTCAAAGCAGAGTCTTTTATAGGAAGGAATGATAATATGTGGCAAAGCAGAGCTTCTGGTAGATTGCTGATTATATCTTCGGAACTAAAGTGTATCTTTTTCGACTTCATAGTGACAGATCTCAATAGTTACAACCTTAAAAAGAAGGATTTTGAGAGAATTTCAGAAGCTTAAACCCAAAAGACAAGAACCCACAAAAGCAAATTTGCTAGAGAGGTATAAAGTTACGGACTTTGAATAACAGGATTCAGTGGTTGATTGTGTGAGACGGGAAGTGAAGGACGAGCAAATTAGGAATTTCTGAAAGGGTTTATTGTGTTACAAAAGCAATTTTTGAGTTTTTGTTGTCTGATAAAATTTAAGAAAGAAGCCAAAACATATATATCATGGATGTTAGTAGTTTTAATTTGGGGTTTTTTTTTGTGTGGTTCTAGTTTTTTGAATTATTGGATTTTCATATTTGGTGTAGATTTAGTATTTTTGAAAAACATGAATGGTAACATCTTTACTTCTTTTTTAAAAAAAATTCTCAAAATACCACGCACTGGACACTTTCTCCAAGTTACTATTCTCACAAACGTTTGACCTAAAAAAAAAAAGTTCTAACAAACTTTTATATAACTTAAGTAATCACAAAATTACACAAAAAGGTTGGTAAAATATGTCGTTGTGGTTACACAAAATGTTTCCGAGCTTGTTTCATTTTGGGTAACAATTTGAAAATGTATTCATTAAAACGACTATATAACAAATCATTATATATTTAGAAGAAGTTTTTTTTTTTATTATTATTACATCCAAATTAGATGATATATGAAGAGATTAGTGGCGTGAAGGCGACTCAGGGTTTGCTTCTTCTTCTTTACTTTGATGCTTTGTTTCAGCATTTGCCACTTTTTTGTCTATCAAAGGCTTTATCATTGCCTCCAAGTCATCTATATCTTGTGTGACTTTTTCCACCTACAATTTTGTAAGTTTTGACTTAGTCAATCACAATCAAAAGTTTATATATGTTTGATTATTTGGTTTCAAAACATCCCCCAAATGATAAACCAATAAAAGAGACCCAAAAAACATAAATCAAATATTCAAAATATTTATTGGTTCCAAAACATCCCCCAAATTGATCTTTTAGTGTTAGTAATATTTTAATGTATATTTCCTAGATCAATTTTAATGATAAAGTGTAGTGGTTTACCTTGTGAAGGAAATCTTGGGTTAAATGTGCTTCATGGGCAGCAACCTCTGAAATATGTTCTAGAACCAAAGCCACTTGTTTTAGTTTATTTTTCTCAGGCAGTTTCTCTGCTATTTCTTCAGCCATTTCGTCAGTCGCCGTCGCTACTTTCTCCACCATTTCTGCTACAGCCTCTACCCCTTCCACGACCAACTCTGCCTCTCCTGCATATATCACATCATTTCAAGTTATAAAAATACTAAGGCGATGACGAGATTAGAGCTCTTTTGAAGAATGTTTTAAGATTACCACAAATGTTATTAACATATAATGTGATTCGAGTTCTTTTTGCCAAAGCAAATGAAAGATGTTTAAATTTTATTACCTTCGATCCGTTTCAGTTTTTGTATCCTTTCGTTGTTCCAGAAAGATAACACTAAGGATATCGCAGAACCTATAACCCATCTTCCCCTGCCAGTTACTCTTCAAATTAGCCTCAATAAAAGTTCCATTCTAATATATGGATTGAATGATCTAATCTTGATCCTATCTAATGCAAATTGGTTTATTCAACGTGTATAGTTCGAGAGATTGAGAGAGAAAGAGAGAAAGATAAGTACCAAGAAAAATTAAACCATTGGTTTGGAGGAGAAGGTTGCATATTGGAGTTGTTGGAACCATTACTAAAGTATCTCCCGGCATTAAGCGGATTTGATAACTTGAGACCTTGTGGACACATTTGGTTATGATAGTCTCTTCCAAATCGAACAATCGCCGGACATGGATTCAAAGTTGTCTTCCTCTCAACTTTGTTGTATATTTGTAAGACCTCCGCAAGGCCCTGCCTATACACCGCAAAACCTCCGCTCTGTATTCTCCGACTTAGATACATTTTCAATCCGGTTTATGCAATCAAGATGATAAAATTTCATAGGCACAACTTTTATATATACACATCAATGTTTTTCAATTTGTGTGTGATATTGGTTAAGCTTATGCTTAAGATAAAAGGCTTTTACGTGTAGTAACGCTTTGGAAAGAGGTTGAACACGCCAAGAAATGAAGTTGCTTTTTTTTCTCCTCTATAGATATATGTTACTTATATTAATTGAGAAGTACATATTTAAATCTAACCTTAACTTTGAAAAAGAATATACTTCAAAAGTCATTTGAATTAAATAGGAAATCGCCTTTAAAAAATTTCATATTGTAACTGGAAATATTATTTCCTTTTCATATTAGAAAAGATTATTTTCAGCATCTATATTCCAATGATTGTTTTTTAAGGCAAGGCAATTACATAGGATGAAAATAATTTGTCACGGTTGTAACTCAGTTTTATTTGTTAAGTTGATCTCTTGATCAAGCAATCTTAGGCCCATTTTCTATTTTATTGTGGATGACTAATTAAGTCAACCTATCAAAAGCTAAAAACTTGACCCCGTTAGAGAAAGAAAATAACTTGAGAGAGTTGAATTCTTTTGTATTCATGTGCAATGAATTTATTTACATATGAAGATCTTATTTATAAAATGACACCTCTGAAGAAACAGATGATAGAAATCTCAATCTCGAATCGCAATTTTGATTTAATGAATTTGATTTTTGATCGTAGATTTTAAGTATCTGATTCGCAATGTAAAATAAAAGATCACATATATCAAACACACAACAATTTTTTTTTGTTAGCATAGATCAAATGTGAATTTTTTTTTACGAGTCAACAACAAATCGAAATTATTTGGGTTAAGGGAAGAAGTTGACATTTTTTCTAAAAAATTACCAAAATTAGAATAATATCAAGAGGAAGGTAAAGTGTTTTTAGTTTTGCTTTAGCATTTAACAAAAATGGAGAGGAATATGAGAACATGAAAGCTCATGGAAATTTGTCCAAAAATAGAAAAAAAGCTCATTGGGATTTTTGTTTTGGAATGATCTTCGAGTGGTTTAGGATGTGATTTGATAACATGTAATATTAACCTTTCATAGAAGAATGAGGTAATATTCGTACTGGTTTTGTAGTGTGTAGAGTGTAGACTGCATTTACGGTCCTCGAATGTGAATCAATATATCCCTCCACATCATTTTTCTACTCTTAAGTTTCTTTCAATTTATCGAAGGACGTCTTCAACAAATCACTTTTTTGTGGCCCCAAACACTATTCAAAGCTCTGGCTATCAGGCTTTGCTCAAGATGAATATATATTTTTCAATGTGAAGTTTTCGGAGCATTTACTATGTCCGGTGAAATATTCGGGTTTAGGAAAAAAATTTCCGTAATAGGGTAAAGACGGACTTTTCCTCTTTCTTTGACCATCAAAAACATCGTTGTAGATACAAGCTAAGCAGATGAGGCAGTTGCAGTAAGATGAATATAACTTTATGTGCTAGCAAAACAACTTTTGAAGATAAGAATTAAGAAATGACATACCAATATTTTCTTGATCTTATTAACTACAAAGATCATAAGTAAATCAGTAAATTTAAATAATTATTTTTATTTACATTTTTAAAAGTTAGGTATATTGACCATTTTAATGGAAACACATATTAATTATTTAATTGTACATATTGTCTACAAAAATCTCTTTAATTGTTCTAGTATCGGTTATACTTAACATTTATAAATGACAATGTCCAAATCTGCACAGCAACAAAAAGTGTGTGTAACAATATTTAGTGGTTCTAGTTTCTAACTTTATTTTTTATTATATTATGTGAATACAATAATCTTTGAGTCAATTAGCTGCATGCTAATTATTTGAGAAATAATTAGGTGTGGCATACACAAGTTTTTTTCTTTGCAAAACAAGAGAGAGAAATATTTGCTTTCAAAAAAACAAGACGAAAATACCCCTGAAATAAAATGCGGGAGTTTTCCCTCTGAGAATTTTGTAGGGGACAGGGATATCATGCAATATTCTGTGGGCTCCCACTTATTTAATGCTCGCAGAGATAGTGTGTTGCAACCGTAGTGGACCACCACTTATTAAATGCATGTATCGATAATATATTCTGCTATGCAATTACGTATCGTGATATCTTGTTTTTTATCGGATACATGGATATATATCTTACATCGTAATATTTCAGTAATGTTGTTTACATATGATATATCTCTATAGATATATCACTATATTTCCCGATATATCACTATATATCATGATATGATATGATATTTCACTATATATCATGATATAGCAATAGATTTCATGATATATATAGATATATCATGATATCTCAATATATAATATGCTATATGTTAAAATATCGTGATATATAAATATATATCATACATCGTAATATTCTATTAATATTGTTCACATATGATATATCACTATATATCCTGATATATCACTATATCATGATATAACAATATATTTCATGATATATCAATATATATCATAACATATATCATGATATCTCAATATATAATATGATATATATTAAAATATCGTGCTATATAAATATATATCAAGGTTTATAAATATATCTCAAGAACTAGATTTGTTCTTAGCGTCGTCGGTTGACGGTATCTCAAAATCATCTCTAACAAAAGCTCAATAATAACGAACGACACCACATTCGTGACGTCTTGGTATCGAGAGTTCTATGAGTTCATGGTATGCATTTTGATCAGAAAAATCTAATAAATTTAATGAATTCAGAATATCATAATTCAGGATACAATCAATTTTAAGAAAATTAGAAAGAGTCGTATGGAGTGGAGTGTTTCATAAAGTAAAGAAAAATAAATAAATAAAGAATTGAAGAGAGAGAAAGCGAAAGAAAAGAAGAAGGAAGAAGAAAGCAAATAAGAACAAATGATGCGTTTGATTTGAGGGATATTATTGTCTTTTCTCCATGTTTTCAAAAGACCCATTATTTACGAACGTACCCCTTTTCGTTTGACTTAAATACTTTGTGGTCTTAGGGTATGTAGTGTAATTACTCATAATCTTTTGTATTAGTGCTCGAACTTGGCCAATTTAAATTGTGTGTATTAATTGCCAAAAGAAAGTATCTATGCATAAAACATTTTTTTATGTGCTTTGTAATATCGCGTAAAAATGTTTTTTTATTTTCTATATCTCTCACCGTACTCTAACCTAATTTGATATCGCTTTATTATTTTTTTATTTCCGCTAAAAAACTATTTCTGTTTTGTATTACAAAATTTGTTGGCATATATAGATCAAACGTGATTATCCTCTGTTTGCGATCGCATAATGAATTTTCGGAGAGAAATTTCAGCCTGGAAACGCTCAAACAACAAGAATGCAGCAAAGAGAATCAAAGAACTGATTCACATTATCGACAGAGCACACACGGAAAAATCGGTCTCATCGCAGCAACTCCATGGATTGCGAAAGGATCTCTTAAATGCTTATAGAGAAGAAGAGACCTACTGGAAACTCAAAAGTAGAAACCAGTGGCTCAATGAAGGTGATGGTAACACTCGGTTCTTTCATGCTTGCACACGGAACCGAATTGCACGAAACCGGTTAACGTCGATACAAAGAAAAGATGGAACAGATGTCTTTGGTAATAAGAACATTGCAGCTGAAGCAGCGGAATACTTTAGCAACCTCTTCTCTAGCTCCTCCCCAGGAGACATTTCAAAGACGCTGCAACATATCAACCCTGTGGTCTCCAGAGAAACGCATACACTCCTATTACAGGAAATCTCTGCTGAAGAAATAAGGACTGCTCTGTTCTCGATAGGTGCGACAAGAGCTCCAGGGCCAGACGGGTTCACGGCATCATTTTATCAACACTACTTGACAACAGTCGGACCAGCCATCATTAAGGAAGTAAAAGAATTCTTTGTCACAGGTGTTATGAAACCGGAATGGAACCATACAAATCTGTGCTTGATACCAAAGATTTCTCAACCAAAAACAATGAAAGACTTCCGTCCAATAAGTCTTTGCAATCTCCTCTACAAGATAATATCAAAAAATTTAGTCAAAAGACTAAAATCGGTCCTATCTTCGGTAGTCTCGGAAAACCAAGCTGCTTTCATCCAAGGCCGGTACATCACGGATAATGTCTTCATTGCACATGAGATACTTCACTCGTTACAGGTCAAAAAGCGTTGCGCAAATGATTACATGGCGGTCAAAACAGACATAAGTAAGGCCTATGACCGTATTGAATGGAATTTCTTAGAGGAAGTACTACGGAAAAAAGGATTTGCAAAGCAATGGATTCAATGGATCATGGTCTGTGTGAGGTCAGTTTCTTTTTCTGTCCTTATCAATGGAAGCCCGTATGGCCGATTTGAAGCTACGAGAGGTCTACGGCAAGGCGACCCGTTGTCTCCGTATCTATTTATCATATGTGCTGACGGGTTGAGCTCCTTAATGACAAATGCCCAACGAACTGGGACGTTAAAAGGAATTCGTGTTAGTAACGGTGGACCAACAATATCTCACCTCCTCTTTGCCGATGATTCATTATTTTTCCTCAAAGCAGATTACAAGAACAGCACCACACTTCTAAATATTTTCAAGGAATACGGCGAAGCGTCGGGGCAAGTAATCAACTTTGATAAATCGTGTATCACCTTTGGCAACCGTGTTTATCAACAAAACAGAGAACATGTCATGGCCACACTCCAAATCAACAAGATGGGAGGAGGAGGAAAATATCTTCGGTTGCCGGAACAGTTCGGAAGGAAAAAGAAAGAAATGTTCCAATACATAAAGAAGGCAGTCCAACAGAAGATTAATGGGTGGCAAAACCAAATTCCTAACATCTGCGGGAAAAGAAACATTAATCAAAGCGGTAGCTTATGCAATGCCGGTATACTCCATGAATGTATTCCAACTGCCTATTGAACTATGCTCGGAGCTTAACAGTATGATTGCGAGATTTTGGTGGGGAACAACTCCGGAGAAACGCAAACTACCGTGGATCTCTTGGAAGAAAATGTCCAGCCCAAAAAAGGAGGGAGGTCTCGGTTTTAGAGATTTGCACCAATTCAACCAAGCTCTACTAGCAAACCAGTTATGGAACATAATGCATAGGCCAAACAGTCTATTATTTAGATTACTTAAAGCAAGATACTTCCGGAGCACCAATATCCTCTCAGCCCCAAAAGGGTATCAACCTTCATACGGATGGAACTCACTGCGATTTGGCTGCGAGTTATTAAAGCTTGGGACACAAGTCAGTATTGGCGATGGCAAAAGTACACAAATAGGGGTTGATCCTTGGCTGCCAACATTACCACCACGGGCCCCTTTGGTACTACCTATGATCAATCATGGAAGCTTGGTTAGCACTCTCATAGACACGGCAACAGCACAATGGAAAGAAGGTATATCCATCCCTCGGACCAGCATCTTATCCGGAAAATCTATCTTTCCCATCGACCAACAGTGGACTCACACATCTGGAGCTACACCAGTAATGGAAGGTATAGCGTTAAATCCGGTTATTGGTTGGCTAAAACTCATGCTGAGGACCCGAATGAACCAAAACCACCATTGGCGGCGAACCCAGACATAGCTACGGGAATATGGCGACTAAACATTGCTCCCAAACTCAGGCATTTTTTGTGGCGAGTCTCCTCTAACGCCATTGGTGTTGCTGAAAATTTACGCAGACGCAACATGACAGTGAATCCGTACTGTAAATGGTGCTGTACTGAATCAGAAACGAGCGACCATGTTCTATTCTCATGTCCCAGAGCAGCGGCTGTTTGGAGATCAACGGGAATTCCTATTCATCAGCTATGTGACCCAACGATTCTACTAGAGGACAAACTCAGGTATCTATTACATTTACATAACGATGCGAATGTGGAAATGTCAATTAGGTATCTACCATTTTGGGCCATGTGGAGAATATGGAAAAGCCGCAATGATTTGGTATTCAATCGCAAACTTATCGAGCCAACGAAAACATTTAAACATGCGAGAGCAGACACACAAGAGTGGCTTGAAAATGTCATAAAACATGAAACTTCACCAACAAGTCACCAAAGTCAACAACGGAGAGAACAGCGATGGAAACGACCGACATCGCCCATCGGGATGGGTCAAATGCAACTACGACGCTTCACATCATGAAGGTGAAAGAGATTCTGGGCTGGGATGGATTATACGGAACACACATGGAATGGTAGAAGATTGCGGTATGGGCAAATTCCAAGGCAGAATAAGTGTGGAAGAAGCTGAATGTTCAGCCTTAATATGGGCTATACAGGCTACTTGGGGGTTAGGCTATCGGACGGTAATCTTCGAAGGAGACAATCTCCATGTTAACCAACTCATCAATGAGAACAAAACCAATCCACGACTCCAACACTACTTGGACACGATCAGCCAATGTTTACAGAGATCAGATTTGTCTTCACACATAGAGAGCAAAATAAGTGTGCCGATACTTTGGCAAAAAAAGCTATCTCATGTACTCAACAATGGAGGCTTTATAATTCCTGTCCTATATTCCTGTTCACTGATGTAAACAATGATTATGACTTTGAGTTTTAATAAAGCTTTAGAAGGGAAAAAAAAAAAAATCAAACGTGATTATATTTGTTACGAAGTCCTCCAACAAAATTGGAATTACATTTCAGAGTAGGAAGAAGTCAACACTTTTTTGCTTACGACTTACCAAAACTAGGATTAAATTGTCAAATACGCAAACATCATTCTCAAAACTGTCATACTAATTAAATAAGGGGGCGTTTTCGTAAAACCAAAAAAGTAGAGGGGTTCTTTTGGGAAGTCTTGCAATTTCCCAGACAAGGTCGACGACAAAACTCTACACATGTCCATTAACGTCTCGATTCGATTGTAAGAATTTTTGTTAAACGCGAACTCCGATAATCTTTCTCTAATCTCCGATCGTGTTTTCTTAGTGAGATGTCGGAAGAGAAGGTAAAAGACGAAGCGATGCAGATAATGGGAATGTTTCAAATTCTTCCGAGACTTGTCGTCTTTGATCTCGATTATACTCTCTGGCCTTTTTACTGGTGCGTTTTTCTTGTCTTTCTTCATTAATTTTCATCCCCAATTTTGTGAAATTTGATCAAAGGCACAATGGATTTGGTATCTAGGGTTTGATTTTTTATGAATGGGTATTTTTGGGTAGGATTGTAATTTGAGGAAAGTTAGAATCTTTGATTAGTTTCGAATGTTTTCTTATGGAGTTGTGACTGGTTTCAGTGAATGCCGTTCGAAACGAGAAATGCCGTCTATGTATCCACAAGCAAAGGGTATACTGAGTGCTCTGAAAGAGAAGGGTATTGAAATGGCTATTGCTTCGAGATCTCCTACTTCAGATATTGCCAACACATTTCTTGATAAATTGAACATTAAGCCCATGTTTGTCGCCAAGGTTAGTTTCAAACATCTTCTTCTTTGTTGGTGTATCCTTATTTCTCTCTTCGATGTGGTTTACCGTGTTAGCGAATGGTTTTCTAGTGATGTTTTGTTCGGACTTTTATCTCACTTGTGTTAGATATGCATCGTAATTAAGGCTTTATTGGAAACGAATAGGACGTTGTTGATATCTGCCATAGGGTAATATGCTTGTGGGATTTATTCAGGAAATATACTCAAGTTGGAGTCACAAGACGGAACATTTTCAGAAGATACACACAAGAACGGGAGTGCCTTTTACTGCGATGCTCTTCTTCGATGATGAGGACAGAAACATTAAATCAGTTAAATACAAACTACTACTTTGTGCTAATTGAGCTTACATCGCACAGGCAGGATTATTTTCTTTACTTTGTGCACTAAAAGATTGAAATCTTCGGTGTGTGTGTGAATAAACAGGTTTCGAAAATGGGAGTGACAAGCATCCTTGTGGGTGATGGCGTTACGCTTGGAGCATTTAGACAAGGGCTCACTGAATTTACTCAAAATCATAACAGTATCGAGAAGAATAAACAGGTTTGGCGCAACAAGTATTCCGGAAAGTCTACATCATCGGATACGGACAAAGATTGACATTCATTTCCGGTTTGAGCTCGAGTGTTCTGATCCATCGGACACAAAACATTCTCGAGTGTTGTATCCACTATTTTTTACTACATGGATATGTCGAGATTTGTATTGAACTAGAATGATTAATCTAGACTTAAAACATGCTCTTCTCGAGAAAATGCAGAAAACATTGGATTGACTTCTATTTTTGTGTTAACAAACACACTTAGAAATTTTCTAATACTTTTAAACCTTTGCATTGAAACAAGATGTATCATGTTTATCCAATACATTGTCTCAAATACATCCTTTCGAGTTTTTAGGACAGAGCAACAAGCTCTATCATGTTTTTTCTTTTGTTTTCATGTAATAAATAATAAAGCTATGAAAAGTAAAATTAGGAATTGATTATTCTTCTCGGCTCCGAGAAACAAATATTAAGTCACATTTTCTAATAGGTTGATAATACCCTCACAACAAAACCCTGTTTCTCATCATGTTTCACTATACCTAAGAACACCTTTCTTTCCCCACGCACAACCGATTTAAAGGGAAGGAAACAAATCTTTTCCATCACCAAATGGATGAATTATGCGTGCAATCACAATTTGAATTTACATGTGAAGCCGTCCGTTCCCATTAGTTTCTGTCCTTGATCTTCTTGTACCCGGTAACTCCTCATGTTTCGATTCTGAACCAATTCTGTAACCTCTCTCGACTGATTCCGCTTCCAAGGGCAGCTCGTCTAATGTCTGTTTTCACCATATCAAGAAGACAAATTTTAACAAGTTAAAATTGCAATTTCTTCAAAGATAAATCTTGAACTTACCCGATTAGCCTGCTGAAGAATGCGAAGAGTCTCCTGCGTGCGTTTCCTCTTTATCGCTAACTCATCTGGCTCTTTCAGCAGTTCTTCAATCAAGTTCTCCCTGTCCCCCCATCCAACAGATTTATAGTTCATATTAAAAAAAAAAAGACTATTCACAAAATCAGATGGGAAGTACATGGTTTCTTTCATCACCTGTAAAGCTTCTCGATGAAAACATTGTGCAGCTCACGTTTCGTGTAATTTACCTGTGTTTATTACATAGAATAGGTATCAGTCCCCTCACAAATATCACAGACACTCAGTGTCATCAATGACCAGAAGATGTTTTGCTCGGCAAAAGTGATGAGATTTCAAGTAATACAACAATGTGAAATTTCTAATTTTTGAAGAGGGAGGTGACACTAACCAGAAAATGCATGATTGTTTTTGGGACCAAGTCCTCAACATTCTTCCTTACAATGTCATAGTAGGATTTCAATAATAGCTTTGTTATCTGAATCTCAACTGCCTCCTGTTCTGAATGAGTTTCCGATGACCTCAAAATGGTTGGAGGCTGGCTTCAAAAACAAAACAGTATGAGATGAATAGGTAAGTAAAGTGACAGTATTGGCAATATGAAGAGCCTGAGAAGGCACAAGATTCAAACCTCCTTTAAATAGATTGTTGACAAGTTCTGAGACACATCTTGAGCAGCTTCGCTGAACGGTGTGTTTAGTAGGCTATTTTCAGCAGCTGCCTGACCATCACTCCCCCGGAAAATTGATGAGAAACCACTCCAGCTTGAGTTTCCTGATTAATTCTCAATTGGTCAAGAATACTACATTCAAATTCTAAACAGAACACTGAATTAAGAGCAGACATGTATGTATATGTAGGTCATATCTTAGACAATGAATTTTATCATTTCAGTCAAATATCGTCTGAGAACCACATGTTCATTTTATCTGTGCATACATGAAAGACTGAAAAATATATGTGATAAGACCATTACCAGCTGGTGCAGATCTTTCAGCATCTGCTGCAGTTGGAACTCCCTGTGAAAAATGTTAAGGAAATATGTTATAAGAAGTCTCTAGCTGGATATTTGTACTCGCTTCATGGGCATTCAGAAGCAGGGGCCAACTACAAATATAGTATCAAACAGCAAAAGACACTGAAGGAGATGTAACAGAGTCAAATACATAACAAAACAAATGAAATGCCTGATCAGTGACGATTCCATTAGCTTGTCGGCCGAGAAAAGATCGGGTTTTTATTTGACTCGCAAAAGAAGTTGTCTTCTCAGGCTCCATAGTGTCCTGTTAGTCATCAAAGTGAACACGTACGAAAAATTTCACAACTCGCAAAGAGAAACATAAAGCAAATATTACTTTCGCTTAGACTATTTTATACCCTTGGCCGCGCAACAGGATGCGGAATCCTTGAAGATTTGACTAGTTGCATTGCAAGCTCCACGGCTTTGGTTCCCCCGATAAAATTTGGGTGTGAGGTGTTTATGTAATCCATCTGCAAATGGTAAACTTAAATATGTTAAACTAAATTTAAAAAGAGGCAATAATCAATAAAATTGAGAGTAATTAATTTTCTCAAACTTAGAACACCAGTATGACAAAAAAAAATCAGTATACGGTACAGATATCTCAGTAAATTTAATATAACTGGCCATGAGAATCATGATTGTGTGGATCCTAAATTATTCATATATACCTCCATTTCAATAAGATCTCGGATCATTGCATGTGAAGGTTCAAGACCTTCTCGCAGAAAGTTCCCAATAACCTCATCCATGCGCTTTTGCAGGACTGGGAAGCGCTGTAACTCTGTCATCATACACTGATGACTAATCTGTACAATAATTTTCAATTTAAATTCATGGTCATGTAAATCAACAGTTAGCATCTTAAAGAAACGCAAATAAAAATAACACCTTTACTAGCTCATCAAAGATGAACCTAGCGCACTGAAGGCTGGGATCTAGTAAACGAGATATTTGCCTCCTGACAAGAACTTCAAATGGAACCTATGCAGATGAGAATGAAAGCAAGAGATACTTATCAGAGTTGTTGGAAATTAGAAAAATCAAGCAAAATAAGTAAGTGGAAAGAACAGATAAGCAAAACAAAGCTCCCACAATTTTAGGGATATAGATAGACCTACATCAGGAACAAATAATGCAGATCTGGGACCAGTTGCATTTTGTATTGCAGTCCGAATATCATCAGCTGTTAAGTCTTCGCATGGATCAACCTCCTTCAGAAGCAAAGTGAAAGAAACTAATGAGTTTAAACTCATAAACCCGTATCAAGTAGCACTGACAACATAAGTAGGTAAAGATCTCTATACAGCAGAGAAGATTCAGATCGATTTTGGGCGATACAGATCAGATGCTTGAAAGATGGCCGGAGATGAACTAATATAACTATTTTTACAACTGAACGTAGTTCTACTCATAAATGAACTGCAAACATGCCACGCTTCCAATACCTCAAAACCTGAGACGAACCGTCTGCCTTCTGTGCCAATAGCCACACTAACTAAACAAAGATATCTACACAGAGTGATTACCTAACTAAGATATAGCCTAATGCTTAGCGAATGAAATAATATCTTATAAATAGAAAGTCACTCATATGAGTATAGGTTTTATATCAATAGCAACAAAATGAACCTCCATTGAAGACCACATACGTGTATAGGTTCTATATCAATAGCATCACAATGAACCTCCATTGAAGACCACAAGTGATATCCCAAATTAAATTATAAAGTATTACCTGACTAAGATATAACCTAATGCAAAACTTGGAATAACAAAACAAAAGGCAGCTTATAACTGATTGAAGATCGAGGAAAATAATAAAAATGTACAAGCAAACCTCTAAGCTCTTAACAAAGACTGATTGAAAGATGTAGAGAATTCTTGCTCCACCCGAGAGCTCAGATGTTGACATTTCTTTACTTTTCCCTTCCAGGGTTGAGGAGTATGCTGTTATAAACAATTACACCATGGTGAGGACCAATACCAACCTTAAAAGCATAACTAACATCCGTTGTCTAAACTGAAATAGAACCATCTTCAGATATTACCTTCACAGTATTTTGTAATAAAACTGAGAAGAAGAGCTCCTTGACCACCCTATGAATTTCGAAACAGTACAAAACCAGAGAAAGCTGTAAGTTAAATAGTCATAATGATAAACTTATGTATGTTTTAATGACATACTCTAATGAGGTAGGCATATTTTATAAGGAAATGAAATAGGAAAGCATATCTAGATATTTTAAAAAAATTCATTAGTCATTTTGTCAGAAATCTTTCCCTGCATATCTAGACACCTTCAAACATTAACTCTATAGATTATCAATAGTTTGTTTAACTCATAATAAACAGAAAAAGGCTCCCAAGAATGCCAAGAAGACGATCACATACATGAATAAAATTCTATTCAAAACGAAAACTGACCAAAGAAACCATACAATGCAAAAAAAGCAAATAGCAATGTCATCATTGAGAATGGATGGGATATATTAGGCTAAAACTGGCCGAAAACCACATACCCTGGACTCTGTTATATCCCCATAGCTCTCATACTCCTTTGCTGTAGCAAACAATGCATTGTTGATACGTGACTTTAAATTAGGAAGCAGTGCCTTGATGTGTTGGACAAGGACCTGCAAAGAAGGAAAAGGACTAGCTACCATCAAACAACTAATAATAGTACCAGCTATGAAACTTATGAAATGCCATCTTTAGGAAAAAAGGACTAATCAATCCACAGAAAAAGAATCCACCATATGAAACAACAACCATAGTGAGCAGATGTTGCTGATTTTCTCAAATATATACACTAGTATATCCTACAAATTTCCTAGCTCCTGCTAAATGAAATGGGCACAATCAGGCTATGCATGGCTAGGAAACATGAATATTACGTACAAAAGCCAATTTATTGTCTCAATTGGAAACACATCGGAAAATCCAGAAAGCGTATTCCTTATGGAACTCATATCTTGACTGCATAACAAGTCATAATAAAGAAATTAGACGATCTCAAGACTGCAGATAATACCTGATTTAATTTCTTTGCCAATTGAGGGACACCCAAACGATCTGTGAGACCGCTGTAAGCCTGTTTATTAGAAAACAAACAAAAAAAAGATATAAGCAGAACAGTCAAGGTAACACTATCAGAAAACAAATCGAGAGATTGATGCAGTCTTACTGGACGACTAAGAAAGAACTTTTCCTCTGCAATAAGAGCATCCTTGATGCTACGGTTCATCAAAATATCCTGTTAGGGAAATTAACACCCAAAGTAGTTATTGCCTTGCGAAAAATCAGTGGCCACATAGTAAGAGCAAACGCAAAATGAATATAGAGAGTAGAGTGGTTTGGTAACACTAGAAAAACTATAAATTACGGGTAGTATACGAAGGGAAAAAAGAGTCAATGAGATATAATGATAGAAAGAAATAAGACACACACAAGCACAAAAGTAGAAGTGGCATCAGCTCAATATGATCGGACAACCACAATATGCATCATAAGTAAACATGCGTAAATGTTTTGAAAAACAGGGTTTACCTCTTGACTACGATTTACAACTCCCACGTATCCAAGTCGAAGAGGAATTGTTTTTCCAAGAAGGTGATTCCGAGCATCAGTACCTCTGTCCATAATATCCAACTGAATCAGAGAGAAAATAGATCAGTCAGTAGTTTGCCATCACAGCTAAATCTAAAACAAGAAAATTTTAAAGCAAAGTTATGACTTATGAGGAGAGAAATAGCACCTTTGTGATTACACCTATGGTTCTATGACCTGAGAACAACAAATTCATATGCAAAACGAAAGGTCACTATTATGTATACCAATGAAATTGATAAATTCTCAATTGACTTAGTGCCAAAAACACTTACCATCAGGATCAGCATTTCCTGCGATTTGTAATGCATCTGAATTTGCTAAATCGGTATTAGCAGGGGTAACAGCAAGTATCAAGCAGCTAGATTCCTTAATGTAAGTCAAGATCATCGTTCTTATACGTGCTTCGATATCAGTTGGCTGATCACCAACAGGAACCTTAGTGATACCAGGAAGATCCACAAGACTGATATCCAAAACATTAGGTGAAAATATTTTCAAACCAATCGGAATATCTGATACACCTTTGTTCTCTCCTGATACTCTATTAGTCTCAGCCTACAAACAATTGTCATATTCATACAATTACACCATCATCAATTGATCTATGACGAACGTAGAAGAAGAGAATGAATAATAAACCTCAATCTCACGACGAATCTCAGAGAAATCGTAGATACGTTTAACAGGATCGTGGTGAAGAAACTCTCCCCACTCTTCATCGGATCCACCATCAGAGCGAGGTTTCGTCTGAACAAGCTGGAGACGGAGAGGTCGGCGCGTGCAGATATCATTGCCACGAGGAAGAAAGTCACGGCCGACGAGTGCTTCGAGAACGCTGGATTTGCCACTGCTTTGACTTCCGACGACAGCTACTTGCGGAAGCGCGATTGTTGATTGGCTTCCTAGCTGAGCGAATATGTCTTGAAGCTTGTTAACAATTGGAATCACGGAGGAGCCTAGTGGCGTTACGGCGGAGGCCGGTGACGGAGGTAGATCGTCGACGGACATTGATTTGATCGATCTAAAGATGGAAGTAGAATTTGAAAAAGGGGTTAGGGTTTTGAGAAGAATTGTTGCAAGAGGTTAGAGAAGATCTTTCTCTCTCGATCACGCGCCGATTTAAATTAATCAGAGTTAAACTGAATATTTTGGATTGGGTCAGATCGATTCAAGGGATATAACTCGGAAATTTTAATTTTTTTTTTAAAATTATGTAATTTTCATATTTGTAGATTTTTTCGAACTAATACATATTAATATATACTAGGTGCTACCCGGCGCTACGCGCCGATTATCGTATATGCAATCATATTTTTCGTAACATTATTAAATATATATTTTCAGATAGTTTAAGTGTTGGTTATTATATATATATATATAAGGGAGACTCACAAAAATGCCCCTTTTTCAATACCCTTTTTCAAAAATGTCCCCTTTGGCTGTCCATTTTTAAAAATACCCTTTTTTTATGTACAAAATGACTAAATTACCCTTCTTTTAATAAAAGATATCACAAATATATAAGGAAATATAACAAAATTAGGTCCACAAAATACAAAATATTTTTTGGCGGGAAAAGTGATCCCGCAATTTTTCCCGCCAAAACACTTGTAAAAACTTGTAAAACCTTTAAAATACCTTGTAAAATTTTCCCGTAAAATTTTTTCCCGCCAAAAAATTTTTTTTGCGGGAAAAGTGATTCCGCAATTTTTTTGGCGTTAAATTTCTGGCGGGAAAATTTTTGGCGGGAAAAATTTACAAGGTATTTTAAAGGTTTTTTACAGGGTATTTATAAGGTTTTACAATGTATTTTAAAAGGTTTTACAACGTATTTATAAGGTATTTATAAGATATTATAAGATTTTACAAGCTATTTTATAAGATTTTACAAGTTATAAGGTTTTACAAGTTTTTTATAAGGTTTTACAAGTTATAAATACCTTATAAAACCTTATAAGTACCTTGTAAAACTTTTTAAAATACATTGTAAAACCTTACAAAACACTTGTAAATACTCTGTAAAACCTTTAAAATACCTTGTAAATTTTTCCCGCCAAAAATTTTCCCGCCAAAAAAATTGCGGAATCACTTTTGGCGGAAAAATTTTTTGGCGGAAAAAATTTTTACGGGAAAATTTTACAAGGTATTTTAAAGGTTTTTACAAGTGTTTTGGCGGGAAAATTGCGGGATCACTTTTCCCGCCAAAAAATATTTTGTATTTTGTTGACCTAATTTTGTTTCAAATAAGGGTAAAATGGTCATTAAAAATTAAAAAAGGGCAAACTTAAAAATGGACTCTCAAAGGGGGCATTTTTGAAAAGGGGTATTGAAAAAGGGGCATTTTTAACAATTTCTCTATATATAATGTATAAGCTTTTCTAAATTTTTATAATTATTTTATGTTAATGATGATTTAGGTTTGGATAATCAAAGTTATCAAATGTATTACTTTTTGTTTATTTTTAAACATCTTATAATGTTTATAATTTTTATTCTTAGTCTATTAATTTTCGAATCTATACTATATAAAAGTCGAGGCTATAAGCTTCTGAGGCCGTCCACCTATGATTTAAAACATCCAATCGCGAATAGCCACCTCAATAACTAACATTTTAGATATCTCACTTATTAACATTTTCCTAAATTTTAATAATTTCTATATCAAGATATTTATTAAAAAAAAAAGAAAAAACGATATATGGAAATAAAATAAATGTAAAATTTTTAAAATAACATATAGAAATAAGAAATATAATATATGTAGATGCAAATTGATTTTTTTTTTCTTTTAACGATAAGAACTGAAATTAATGTTGATTCTATCATTTTAAGCATATCTATATATATTATATAAAAGTCGAAGCTATAAGCTCTTGAGACTGTCCACGTGGGATTTAAACGACCAATCATATAAGTCCATGTCAACATGTAAATTAAACTCACATTTACTTTTCTTAAATAAAAGAAAAATTTCAAGAACCAAGAATTATTAGATGTCACGTACGCATGTTTACAAGTTATAAGTAAATGTTAGGGCTAAAATGTCAATGTTTTAGTTTCTTATTAACAAAAAAAAGGTATTTCTAAAAAAAAGGTATTTCTAAACAACTGAGAATAATATTTCCAGACTCTAAGAAAGTTAAAGTTTAAACGAAAAGGAAAAAATTTAACGACGTAAGGAAAACTTCTTCTTAACAACCAAGAAAAATAAAAAAATTCTAAAATTTAAAGTAGTGGTTTATGTATAGATAACCATCTATGGACCACTGATACTCGAATAGATCAATGATTATAATTATAAAGTTCAAACAAAGAGTTTATTGAGTTACTTTGGCTTTCAGCTACTTTGTAACTTGATTTTCGGCGAGCTAGAAAAAAGGTTTTACGAACAAGGAAGGCATCACATCATTGCTTCTGCTTGCATGAAGGACATCACATTCAGGATTTAAGATACCCATGAATGTTAATGAAGATTTAAAGCCGCGGGAACGATGATTGAGGAATTAATCCACGAAACTGGTTTTCTCTTATGGAATGAAGCGCCGAATGCTTTAAAAGAAGGAGCTCCAATAAACAAATAGGGGAATGAAAAGATTATTTGTTTTCTAAACACAGTTGGCCAAAAAAACACACAAGCAATGAGGAGAGCCTTTCTGAAATCCAAAAGAGCGTTTAGGAAAAGCAGTGGTACGCTCAAACTCATATTTAATAATTACAATGTCTTCACCGCATTAATATTACACAGGAAACTCAAATACAAAATTATATTCGAAACATGGATTCAAAGTGCAGCAACATCCCAGCCTCCTAGAAGAAGAACACGTAGAAGTACGTAAATAGGCAAATTCTAAATTGTAAGACAACTTATTTTCACTAAATAATACGTGAAACTAACTGAATTTACATTCTTGCATGGACACAACTCTGACTTCACTGAAGAAACGGATGATATTCTCCATTGTCCTTACATTCTTCTACGCGTCAAACGATGTAGAAGAGTTTAATAATCGATATCAATATGAAGTTGTCTTAGATACGTCGGACTATAAATAACTTATTTAAAATAAGGAATGACCGAAATCATAGTAAACAAGGGGGTGCTTCATTAGATAAGAAGAATATATGACTACAAAATAAGAAAGAGACTAACAACAACCATAGAGTAAAGTGATCGGTACATCTTTACGCTGACATAGGCGGCTTCTGTTATTAAACTTGGTAAAATTGTTACATACAGTAGATCTTCTACTTTATAAAGAGGGTTCCAGTTTATCTTGAGATAACTTGAACTAAATTATACGGTTTGCACATAACCACAATTCTCAATTTAATTACATAGTCGAATATATTTCTCCATTTTTTAAGAAGAAGACCACAAGTAAAGGGAAATTTTATACAATTCTTCTTATCTTCGCTCAAAGGTGTTTGTATTTTTGGTAATTTAATTTTTTAATTTTTGTTAAAATACGTTGCTCTATAATTGTTAATATTAGCAAAATATTTTATGATATATATAAACATAAGTATGAGAAAATGACACATCCTATATTTGTTAAGTTTTTAGTAAAGCTATATTTAATATGTTTCAATCAAATTTTCTCTTTAAAACATTTCTTTTCTTATGAAGACAAATACTAATAGAAAATTTCTTAATTCTAAGGTAGTGATATCATCCCCTACTATAGATAATCAACAATAACTAAAATATTACCATTCAAAATATGTGGGAACATTATTATATGTTGATATGGTTCTGAGATTATATGTTAATAATATTACAATTTGCTAAATTTCAAATGCCAAATTATCCCATGAACATTATTATATGTTGATTTGGTTCTGAGATTATATGTTAAATTTCAAATACAATTAAATGTTTGTCCATATATGTTAAATCGTTCAAGGAGATTTTAAAGGAAAATTTTCAAAATTTTAAAACCTAAAAATATGTTAATGTTAGTATAAGAATTTCTAAAATTTTGTTCAAAAGAAAAAGAAAAATACTACTAATAGACGAGGAAAAATATGACCAAACAACATAATGGAAAAATATTCAACTAACAACACACAAAAAAAATAAGTTAATGATGGTTGAAGAAACTTTTAGTGTAAAACAAAAGGAAAAGAAGTCTACTAATTAGCAGCAAAAACAAAAATATAAAAGTTTTCAAAATATATAGTTGTTTTATGCATAAATAATAGAATATATATACTTGAAAGAACAAAATGTATACTTTTTTAGAGATTAAACAAAGAACTCATTGAATTACGAGAGCGCTTTGCTGTCAGGATCTTCCTTTTATGGGAAGCATGAAACCTTTAATCTCATGTATAATCTTTGAATCAACAACTCAAATCGAAAATCAATAACGAAGAGGCGAATATAAGACTGTGAGGAAGAGATTCGATTGGGGTATTATTTGCAAATGAAGATTTGCAACAGAAAATTGTAAGAGAAAAGAGATGGATTGGATGCTTTATCAAAATTTTAAATAACGTAAATAATACTAAAAAAAAAAAAGAACATTTATGGTAAAAACAAAATTGTAATACTTTTGCATTATTATCATCAATGTATAGCTAATTAGCTACTTAAATAATTACTAAACAAAAAATATATATTAAAACAATCTATAACAACAAACCCCCGCGTAGCGGGGGTTAATAACCTAGTCTATACTATATAAAAGTCGAGGTTATAAGCTCCTGAAGCCGTCCACCTAAGCTTTTAAACGACCAATCGAAATTAGCCATCTCATTAGTTAGCATTTTTTCAATATCATTAATTAACATTTTTAAATTCTAATATTTTTTATATTAAAATTATTAATAAAAAGGAAAATATATGTATATATATATATGGAAAGGAGAGAAATATCCACCACTAATTAACATTTTTAGCCATCACGTTAATTAATATTTTTAAATCATAATAAAAATAATAATATATATTGTAAAGAAAAAAAAATGTAAACTTCTCGGAAACGAACAAATGGAAATAAGAAAAATGTAAATATATGTATTAGAATAGGAAATTATTTGCAAA